ACTCATTATAAACCCGTTTATAACAGTATAATTTTTTTATTATATATAACTGATGTGATTCTAACTTTATTACTTATTACTTTTACTGTGGTAATTGACAATATAGTTCTTGTTTTAATTTTTAGGTTGAAACTTGAATACATTTTAGTTAATTTCATTCATGAGATGTGATATGTTATTGGTTAAAAAATTATTTGAAATTTAGTAATGAACAGGTGTGGAAATAGGTTAGGTATATTAAACAGGTCATGTTATATGTGTTAATCCAAAAACAACTAGTTTATTAAACATGTCAAATAGGTTAGGTTCGATTAACCCGTTTAATAGTTAGGTCAAGTTAGTATTTATACATTTTGACACAATTATTAAACATGTCAGATTTGTGTTTTGGAATTTTTGACACAAAATCAAAATCAAACTGACACAAAATGATCAACCCAACACGATTAACACACCTAAACCCATTATCCTTTATTTAAGAAAAACTATTAAAAAAATATCAAAAACCGTTAGAAATAGTTGCAAACAATATTGGATATCGTTAGTTCGTTACCCTCCATTGCCCAACGCTACCTGCCAAAAAGCATTTGAACTCTCTCTCTCTCTCTCTCTCTCTCTGGCCAGAGTGGTTCTCATCATATATATATATATATATATATATATATATAATATATATACTATAAAATATATATATATATTTCACTTTTACCCTTAACTATTGATATAAAGTCAATCATATCCACAAATGTTTTTTGTTCTTCCTTTAGTATGAAACTAATTATATTTAATTTTATTTATTACCTCTAAAATGTTTATAACTCATTGTCTCCCACAATAAATAAATCTCTTTGGTGATTAAAAAAACACCTCTACCTTGATCATTTTCATTGTCTTCCATTCTGTCTTTCCTCTCTGCTTTGTTATATATTATCTATACTATACTATACTACTATAAAATGTGAATAAAAGTGAAAAAATTTAGATCACTACAATTACCTTAACAAATTACCTAATATCATACGTATCCTACTATAATATCTATATCTATATCTATACTACTTATAAAAGTCTCTTAAAAGAAAAACTTTTGTTTTTCTATTTTAACCTTAATTAATTTTTAAAAGGCAATTTCATCCCTAGATTATAACAACTTGAGAAACATAGAATTATGTCTCATACACTTAATGCATCATTTAGAAGGTAATAGATTAAAATTTAAAACATGAAGGCAACAATAAAATAACCTTTTCACATTCCCTAACAAATGAACTAATTACAGCACTATATACTTGTAGTAAATATATGTTCATTAACATTATTCTTTATTGTGACTGTTACAAACACTTTTCATGTGGACTCTTGGGTTGCTACTAACGCCTAATATCTTCAATCCCAAAGCTCAATTGACAAATGCTACTTTTTGTTAATGGAAGCTTGCCATATTCCCACCACCGGTCAGGGAGTATGCTTTCATCAATTTTCTGCTTCAACCTACTTGTTGAGAAAAAGAGATGAAGAAACCAGCCGACCATTGAGATGAGTCGGTGCATATAATAATCGTTTTCACAAAACACAATCATTGTGTTTTGAGTTAAGCACATAAAAGGGAAGTATGTATCATAGGGTTTGTGGTGCTGTTTTGTTTGGTATTTTTTTTAGGATTTTAATTTGTTTGAACTGGATGTTGGGTATATTAATCATTTTCTCAACAGCTTGAAAACTTGAACAATCAAGATTATGCAATGGAAGTGACATCTCTTTTTCCCAAGATCCTAAAAGTTTCTCAATTATCCACCCAAAACTTTGTGAGGTCCTAATTAGTCTCTATCTCTCTTTCTATATAGTCTTTCTGATATGTAGTTGGGTTTATCTTTTTTCTATCTGTCTAGACATCAATAATTTCTTGGTTATAAATACACTGAAGCCCAAGTTAGAAGCCAATCCACATCCAATCAAGGGAAAAGATGTTGCTTGGACAAGGACATATAACAGGAGCAATGAAGCGTGAAGGCAATTCAAAGGAAAACCACTGGAATTGTATGAGGTACTTCCCTCTTGTTCCATTATTAAATGATCTCAATATATGAATTTCAATTATGGTATGGTCTTAAGTATTAGGTACCTCCGTCTTGTTCCTAACATTCTAAATTCACTATGCATGAATTTGGATGGAACCTCATCTAATGAGCAGTTGGTCCTCTCTCAAGTTTTGAATTTTACTTAAAAAAATACACATGCCAAAAAAAATGTCAATCTCGGATCTGTTACTCTAATTTTTTTTTGTAAGGTGTTATTAATAATTTTTCACATTTTGATGGAAGCATTGAAAGCTTGTTATGATTCTTAACAATGCCTTGAAAGCTTGTTATATTCTTGCACTGCATGTGATGATTTTATTTAGTTGAATAATTTCCAGTTGTTTAGATTTTTAGTCATGATTTTGATATTTTGTCCCATCTTTTTCCTTGAATTAGCTCACAAGAGCGCAATTATGTTTCCTTGAATAAGCTCATGTAAAAAAATGTGAAAAATAAAACACAATAAAAAATAAGGTTCAGGTATAATTGGTTAGTTCCATGATCCATCATATTTTATTGGTTCAATTTTCAGGCCTTCGTGGATGTCCAATTTGGATACCAGAGCGGAATAACTCTGTAAGTATATTACAATAGATCTATCTACGATACCAAATAATTATTTCTTATATTGTATCTTTTATTTTTTAGCACTCAAAATAAAATAAAATCAAAATAAGAAACGTGTGAATTTTTTATATTTATTACTTTACTTTACTTTATTAGTTTCACAACCAATTCATAAATCAAAATAAATTTTTAAGAAGCAAAAATTTTCAAAATGGCCCCAAATTGATATTTGATAGCAGTGTGGTCAATTACGACAAGAAAAAGAGTAATACTATTGTGACTTAAAAAATTAATTAAATTTAATAATCTAAGTTACTGAGTGAAGATGCATTACGCTTGTACCAAATGTCCAAAATCTTGGATTCTATAAAAACTTGGACTATTTTTTAAACTTGGTTTCAACCAATTTTCAAGTTTAACTTGTATCTATTCTAAGGAGACTTCTTCAATCCCCAAAAATACTTTTTTCTCACAAAAATCAGTAGGTCATGCCATACTTTTTATTAAAATAATTATATCATACTTTTGATAATTTGTTGTCATGAACTCTTAAATTTTATCAACTCTACCTTTAATTCCAATTTCGAAAGCATCATTTACTTTATTCCTGATGAGTATACGATCAATTTTTATTTCATGAAAAGATCATATTTTCTTGTATATTTTTGGAAAAAATCAATCATATTGTTGATTATGACAATGTTTCTACTCTTCATTATAAGTTTTTGGTTGCATTTGTTCTATAAGTTATACAATATTTCCTACAACATTGTTTCTTAATTAAATTACAAAACTATTTTAAAAATATATAATCGATGTTTTTATGAGAAGGATAAAATTGAAACAAACATAGTATTGATAAAGTTTAAGACTTCAAGGGAAAAAAATTATTAAAAGTATGGCTTGATTGTACTACTAAAAATTGATAGGACTTGGTAGTTTTGTGAGAGGAAAAATATGACTTATTAGTGATTTTTCCGAAAAAAAAAATTGTCCAGTTTAACATTTTGAATTCATCGTATATATAATGCATAAAAATCTATATAAATCATGCAAAAAAATTATTTATTGACTTTTGGAGAATATGACAAAAGAGGTTATTGAGAAGCTTCATGAAGGTGGAATGCATATTAGTGGAGTAGAACAAACAGCTAATGAAGTCCAGTTAGTAGTTGACCAATAAATTTTAGCCTAATACCCTACTATTTCTTTCGTGGTACAAATGAGAAAATAAAAGACACATACACTTGAGTATCAAACAAAAAATCTATGGTGAAGTGACAAGTATACATGACTAGAGCGAAATAAATGTTTAAAATTTTATCAAAAAACTCTCTCCGTGCAATTAACAATCAACGGGAGTTGGCATAAAGTGGAATTGATTTATGAGATCCTTGCAATTCTCCATTAGTGAATGTTTCTTTTACATAAAGCAAACTTATTCGCCTTGATTTTGTACAGCTTGGTTGAATTGAAAATAGCAATGATATTCTGATATGAGAACAAAAGAATATAAGTCCAAGAATAAAGCATGTTCATTTCCTATCACTGGCAATAGAAGAAATAAGCATAGCACAAGGTAAGATTAACAATTGTAATTGAGATGATGATCGATGAACAGTGATTGGTGGCCTAATGGTCAGAGAGATTTGGACTATGAGTTCTAGCTATTGTATTTATTGTTTCAACTAAATAAAAATTCCAAAAAATAAACACACGGGTGTAGATTTTCTTCGTGGGCTAATACGTAGATATGATATTCATTCAAAAATTTATAAACTTCCTTAGGATTATAAGCTAAATTTTGTTTAATACTTTTCATCTTAGATTTTGGTTTGATTTGATCTAATCTTCAATGTTAAATTAGTTACATTATGAACTTATTTTAATCTTCACTTTCTTCTCAATTCTCATTTGTATTTCCTAAATTCTTCCATTATTCTTTAATGGAGTTGACCATTGAACCATAGGGGGATCCCATTCTTCATTGCAATAAATTTTGATGATACCCGTCTCCAAACAAACTTTGGTATTCGAGCGTAGGATACTTGAAGACGATCCCGACGTGGGTTACTGTGCAATGTTCTATGGCTCGTGCATAATGGAGTTGACCATTGAACCATGAGGGGATCCCATTCTTCATTGCAATAAATTTTGATGATACCCGTCTCCAAACAAACTTTGGTCTTCGAGCGTAGGATACTTGAAGGCGATCCTGACGTGGGTTACTGTGCAATGTTCTATGGCTCGTGCATTCAGCTGATTATTGAACTTGAACATCCCATTGACATTGAAGAATACTTTGAATCTCCATCTGGAATGTGAATGTCAATGCCTGGAAAAATACGCCTTCAGGTTCAGGCCCTCCACCAACGCCGCTCTCAATAGGTTGAAATTGAAACATAAGGTGTCTGAGCCAATAAAAGAAGTCTCCTTGGATGGAGTGGAAGTGCAAGATCCTGACTGGTTTTTGCTGTATCAACAAATTCTTGATGATCTTGATGCCACTTTCAACCAACTGAAAATCTTCGTATTGTTATCCAACCTGGTGATATTTCGTCCAAAATGATCAGACTGTTTATAAAAATGTCTGATTCGAACCCACCACCGACATCCATGACGGTCAATGCAGGCACTTTAATTTAGGGTTGAAACATTTTATATCTGATAAAGAAAGTGTCCCTATTCGACGATTGGTACTCTATTCCAATACCATGGAATTACAAAATGAACAGACTCTAGACAATTGCCTATAGTTACTCCATAGTCCTCAAATTGATGTCAAAATTCTCGAATTCTTGCTACCTCCTCCGGTTGCACCACGATCAGGAGAATGGGCTAGAGACCCCAAGAAACCAAGGATGACGAGAGTGAAGAAACTAAAGGTAACAGTGAAGAGACAACATGGAAAGACCAGACAATTTGAAGTGATGGCCAGCGATGATGTACAGGTACTATTGAAAGAGGAGGATTATTTGGTTATTTATGTTGGAAGGATTTTTTTTGGAAGAGGACAAGTACTAAGACAAGAGTGGGGAAGTACTTTGTATTAAACTTGAACACAAACTTTTTTGGGCATAATACAAAATGACTTAAAACACATCCATATTTATACTACTCATAGAAGGTTCTAGATTTTTACAAATGTGATAAATACATAAAACAAATATCTAAAATATTTCTCAAGACTTTTCTAGACATCTTCTAGAATCTAAGTATTCTAGAACTCTTCTAGAAATTATGTACATCTCCTTCTAAAATATCTTATATTTTGGACTTTTTGTATTAGACTTGTATTGGGCTTCATCTACTGATTTTTCTTGGGCTTCATTTTTTGAACCAAACCAAGTTTATACTTCAACACGAACGGAGTTCAAGAAACTGTCATGGCCAGGAGGCTTTGTAGTTCCACCAGAATACTTCTTCATCCACAAACAAAGAGCTATGGATGAAGACAAATCGTTCATATGGAACAATGTTGCCGATGGGGACATAATTGAAGTTTTTCCTGGATGGATTTCGAGTGAGTAGTCACCTGTGGAGGTTCTATCTCCAGTTCATGATCCATGTTTCACCTACACAACAGGAGTAACCATGAAAGAGAGTCATGCATTGTCTAGGGTGGTCATTGCCAGTATTCACATGGTCCTCTTCTCTTCTATCTCTAGTCTCTACTACTATAGCATAATACTACTATGTACCCTCAATCCAACAATAGGCTAATAGGTCTATGTACCAGGAAAAACATAGCTGGCAACTCTGTCAATGCAATTCTGTTTTAGATTTTGCTCACTTCAGTCTCATTTTATGGATGGTATATAGTTTTTGCTAATCAAGTGCAAGTGGGTGCCATGTCCATTTCAGCAATTAAATATCTATGTACCTATAGTAACAAGATTTGACCATTTCAATCTGATGTAATTTTTTGACCTAATAGAGTTGAATTATATTTTAGTCTTAATATAAGTTTTTATCCAAGGGTGGAGCCAACATTCGAGTTTAAGGGGGGAGAATATAACCCGAGGCCATGACCGGCTCAACAGTAGATCCAAAAAAATGTGGGCTTTAGGCTCCACATATACAAAAGGGTTAATTGTAAAAAAATACACAAAATTAAAATTAAATGTAAAAAAAATACACAACTCTTAATGTTCGGTCATTAAGTACTTATTTTTAAAACTTAATTGCGTCCAAGTACACAATTTGACTTTTTGTATTTTTCTTTTGACATATTTGTCCTCATATATATATAAGCAACACAAAATCGAGCATTACTCATATAATACAAATATTTTTAATTGCATACAAATATTTCAAGTAGTAATTTTTTTTTGTTTTAGTTAATGCCACCCACCATCTATATAAAAAAAAATTTTGATGGAATTTACTTTTAAAACATAACACAAAACAATGTCAATTTGTGTGCATAATTTAACGAATGTCCAATAATTAGTAAAAATTTGCTTACTATAAAGAAACATATGAATTTAAAAAAATACATCCCAATTCAATTATCGGATTCAATATAATGCCTCAATTCTACCGTAACAAAACTATTTATCAACTATTGCAACAATATAATAATATCAACAATAGAATAAAGTTCAACTTATCCATATAAATCTGCACATATCAAATCCAACCTACAATTCTAAACGCACATGTTTAATTAATTTTCATATTAACTCCCATATAAAAATTGCCATAAGAAAAGTTCAAAATCTAAGCAAAATTGAAAAAAATCAAGATTATTGTTTCAATTGTTCTTGTTCTTGTGCCTAAAGGCGCTAAGTAACAAAAAACAATACAACAATTAGCCAAAATTAGAAATTCATTGCACAAAAAGTTAAATCCTTAATATATTTTAAAAAAATTGCAATAGTTTTCCAAAAAAATGGGTTCTTAAAAAATTTTCAACCTGTATACACAATTTATTTTCATACCCAAAAAAAAGCTACCAAAGATCTCACTATTACACAATTTTGCCTAAAACAACAATTTACAACTAACGCAACCACACAAACAAATTTCATAACATATAAATTCCATAAACAAATATTCATGTTGGATGTACCCTAGAAAAATGTTTAAATGCTCTATGCAATTAACAATTAACAAAATAAAGAAAATGAAAGTAGTGCATATAAATCTACCCATCATAATCTCTAAGCTACCGTATATGAATAAACTTTGAACATGAGCTACACAAACGCCAAGAACAAATATAAATTAGTTTCAATCAAATTCATAGCCATCATTGAAGGTATAAGAAGATCTTAGGTAGTGCTGGGATTCGCTATCAAAGAATCCTACAATGGAAGAAAAAGTCGATGAGATATTACAGAAATTGGATAAAATATGAGATGCAAAGAATTAGTGAGATTGCTTCCAAATTGAGAACTTGGAAGTGTGATACAGGTTCCAAAAGAATTACATGATATATGCTTGGGTTTAATACTGGCATAAGTTTAAAAAAAAAAAAAATTAAACCCATAATAGAAGAACAAAAGCTTGAATATCACTATAGACCACATTCACACACTTCAACAAATAAATGATCAAACTAAAGCATGTGTGTACAAACAACCTTGCTCATATAAGACCTATAAACCTTCAATAAAAATACACATATCGGAGAAAACTATGACACATGCACAATAAACAATAAATCCCAAGATTTCAATCTAAATTGGGTACAACAACTACCACCATAGAATTAAAGGTCTACAACATTTATCCAATACTTATGCAACAATCTGTTGATCAAAAAAGAAAATTAATCCATGATCCCAAAAGAAGGAACGAAATGGATAAAATCAATCCATAAATTTTTGTCACTTATTAAATTTTCACCATCCCGCCTACCAAGCAATCTCATCTCCTCCATGAAATTTTCGTTCATTACCATCTCAAAAAAAACCAAAAGTTAGCAGTGACAGAACCCCCAAAAATAACAAAATACCATGTGCAGTAAAAACCAATAAAAATGATTTAAAGAACCGAAAAGAAGTATACTCAATACGGGTCATCTAACTTCTATATACACTAACATGGAAATATACTTGCTTTTAACTCTGGGGCCCATATCCCCCAAAGCCTCCATTTGAGTCTTTATAGCTTTCACATAAGACTCGTTCAACCGTCCACCCAAACATACATATATAGGTGCATGTATTAACATATAAAAATTTTACTCACAAAAGGAAACATGGAGTAGAAAAAACGATTAAAAAAATGAGTAATTTTCTATCTTGAAGGTAAAATATCAAGGGACCATATTGAATTGAAAGAATGAGAAGAAGTTACCAAAAAAGGATGAAAAAAGAAAATTATACATATAAAGTATTGGCTGTAAGTTACCAGAAGTGAAGATGCACTCCTAATAACTTCCTAAAAAAAAAAAATTCCACCATAATACAACAACGATCATATATGTCTTTTATCCCAATTATATTCATCAATACAATTTTCATTACAATTACCATCCTGAAATTATCACTGTTCAGCATGTCTAGCAAAGTAAACACCAAAACAATAGTAGCATCGTATAAGAAATTGAATACTCTCATAGAAGAAGAAAGCATTAATAAAATACATAAAAGAAGAGCTAACCAATTAAACAAATTTCAAATTGTTTAGAACTAAGGAGAAAACATTAGAGCATGATTAATTGAAAGGTAGACAAATAAGGACTAACTTCATGCATTGAATATACCACTAATGGAAAATTGGCGGTGAATTACATTTATTATTTCACAAACCATCAATCCATTGCATCTAACATAAAGCTTGGCCCTTAGAACACCAACCAATTAAAGGATGATAATGTTTTTCGGCAAAATAAATTCACTGTGCCTAAAAGGATTTCGAATTGTGCTTCCTAAGATCACCAAACACAGAATAATTAAAATTGATAGTATATATCCAGAAATCCAAGCAACATTTGTATTCTCTATCGTGCATTAAATTGAAAAACTCATTGAAAGTTCTATAAATATTTTCCATCTTGTAATCTGTACCATAAAGAAAAGTTGAATAGAATTAGAAAGAGATCATCTGAGAACCCGAGAAAATTCAACAACGAAAAAAGAAAAAAATGGAAAAAAGACATCAAGATAAAAAATGCATGATAATGAATTAGAAAACAACCAAAATCTTAAATAGCAAACCATGCACAGTACTTTGTCATTGCTGTGTAGAGCCAATAACACATTTTGCAAGGGATGGGACTTAAATTCACTTTCAACATAGACGAAGTCCATTCAAACAATCTGGGCAGTGGCATCAAGCGGATATGAAAACAAATGTGTATGAACCTGCACTTGCAAGGCAGATATGAAAAAAGAGAATTACACAAATTGAAAATAGCCACGAAGCGTTGTGTTTTGATAGATCAAGTCTTTATTAGGTATTTCGTCGAACAGTTTATGTGCATACTTGATTGCAAGTAATCAGATGTATCGTAAACCAAATGTAAATGCAAGTAATTATACCAAAATAAATGCAAGTAATTATACCAATCAAATGTCAAGGGAGGGAGGGAGAGAG